TCTCTCTATCTCTCTCTCTATCTCTCTCTCTATCTCTCTCTCTATCTATCTCTCTATCTATCTCTCTATCTATCTCTCTCTCTCTCTCTCTATCTCTCTCTCTCTCTATCTCTCACTCTCTCTCCCCGTCTCTGCCTCTCCTCTCTGTCTGTCTGTGTTGAAAAACACAAGATTGGTAGGAACATAAACTGAAAACAATTCAAAGAGCCTGCGGAGGGATATGGATAGGTTGTGAATTGGCAAAAATTTGACAGATGGAATAAAGGTAGGAAAATGTGAACATGTCCATTTCAGTAAGAATAGAAAAGCAGAATATTCTCTAAAACATGAGTCTACAAAAGGATATAGAACAGAGAGATCTCAGTGTTCTGATAGGTGAAATGAAGTGGTTAGCATGCTGGTACAGCAAGTAATTAGGAATGCCAGCAGACTATTGATCTTTATTACAAGGGGATGGAGTTTAAAAGTAGGGACATCTTATAACAGTTCAAATCATTGATGAGATCATCCCTAGAGTACTGCATTCAGTTTTGGTCTCCTTATTTAAGAAGAGATATACTTATATTGGATGCTGTTTAGATAACGTCCACTCATTTGATTCTTGGAATGAAAAGGTTATCTTGTGATGAAAGGTTAAATTGGATAAGTCTAGACTTATTGGAGTGTTAAAAACTGAGATGCATCCTTATTGAAACAGACTCTGAAGGGGCTTGAGCGGGTGGATGCTGAAATGTTGTTTCCTCTTGGGTGTGGGGGGGTGGAGGATATAAAATTAGGAGCTGCAGTTTCAGAATAAGGGGTCTTTCATTTTTCCATGTGCGAGAAGCAGATGGAAGTCCCCACACAGGTGACTGTGGGAATTGCCTTAGAAATTGAAGTCTTCTAGGGGTAGTTTCAGAGATAGTAGGAACTGCAGATGCTGGAGAATCTGAGACAACAAGATGTAGAGCTGGATGACCACAGCAGGCCAAGCAGCATCAGAGGAGCAGGAAGGCTGACGTTTCGGGCCTAGACCCTTCTTCTTGCTCCTCTGATGCTGCTTGGTCTTCTAAGGTAGTTGTGCGATGTCTGAACCCTCCTAAAGAGTTCTTTACTCTGAGCTACAGTCAGAGACTTTGGAGGATCGGACTGATTTAAGCTTAACAGTTAGCCAGTAAATGTTAGAGAATATAAAATCTGATGTAATTCCTGTGTAACCATTACCTGACACCTTGATTCTGCCCTGAATCCTGTAACCTGAGTACAGTGGAATGGACACTTGTAGTTCCTCTGAGCTGATGCACCAAGCTGAGACCATTTGTCCTCCTAACCTCCCAAATTGCACCTGCCCTGACTGTGAACCCTTGGACATGCTCGTGACCTACCCTAGGTACTTATCCCGATTGTGGCAGAGCCGGCACGCTTCATTCCAATCACCACCTGACCAACACACATACACTTGAATCCTCCCAGCCCCCGCTCTCTTGCACACCTCCCCTTTGCACACCACACACCACCTACTGCAACCTCATTTGCATTGCATCCAAATCCCTCACCAATGTGCCACACTTGCCTTACCAAGTTATCTTCTCTCAGTAGCTTTCATAGTGGTGAAGGAATCTTTAAATCACAGTATGCAGCATTTACTGCTGACAAAATGGGGCATAGTTTCCATGCTGATCCTCTACGCTCATGTCTTCATATATTCCTGGATTTATCTACATTGCTTCTGGTGAGATGGCCTCTAGATAGACAGTTTACAAAAGGAACTACTTGAGAGGCAAGTTCCTTTACTTTTTTCATCAGAAATGGGGTTTCCAACTTCCTCTGGAAAATCTGGGCAACTACATTTCCAGGAATGCTCTCTGGATAGAGAAACTAACAATACTTCCTTTTGAATTGAATGTCTCACTTACTTATTTGCACTATGCTATTTAATAATAATCTTTTGTGTAACAGTAAAATATTTTGCAAGAAGATTGAGAGGTTGTTTGATCCAGACTACAAGGATCCAGACTCTCCAGCAAGTGCTGATACATTATACAGGTAGGTATTCTGTGGAAATTCAGTTGATTTTTGAAAATATATTTACCTATTAATCTTGTCTACTGAGAACTTCACACTGTGTTTCATGCTTTATTTCAGATGTAGCATGTGTAAGAAACTTCTTACCAAGGAAACTGAGAAAATGATTCCCTGTGCTCCTGTAAAAATAAATATCGATCTACGAGGAAACATAATATACTTGCACATTAGGTATCTTCTGAATTACTTGATAAAGTTTTGAACCTGGAGTTTGGGTGAAGAATTTAATGTTGAGACTTCTGATCTCCTTTCTGCAGTCTCAATACAAGATGTTGTATTGTGTTTGGTTTGATATGACTAAGAGTACAAGATATGTGTTTTTAGTACATGATATAACTGCTCAAAGCTTGGTAATTAAGGTGGTAGGGCTGCAGGTGCATCTAGCCTCATGGGACTATGATATGCTAGTAGTAGACTCCTGACTCCCTAAGAGGGCATTTTGAGTATTAAATATTCCTGGATATGAGATGCTCAGGAAGGATAAGGAAGGAAATGAGGTAGTTGGGAGCACTGCCAATATTGACGAAGGAGAACATTACAGTGCTGCAGAGAGAGGACAAGTTAGAAATCATAGACGTTCTATTATACTACTTCCGTACATTTTATTATTTGCAGGAAAATTGCAGGGAGGTTCAAGAACCATAGAGTAATGATAAGAGGATTTGTTCCTGATATGGACTAGCATAAGAATAATAGTGCATGGTGGCTCAGTGGTTGGCACTGCTGCCTCAGTGCCAGGGACCCTGGTTCGATTCCAGTCTTAGGTGACTGTCTATCTGGAGTTTTCACGTCCTCCCCTAATCTGTGTGGGTTTCCTCTGGTTGTTCCAGTTCCCTCCCACAGTCCAAAGTTGTGTAGGTGGCTTAGCTATGGTAAATTGTCTGTAGTATCCATGGATGTGCAAGCTAGGTGTGTTAGCCATGGCAAATGTGGAGTTACAGAGATAGGGTGTGGAGCTCGTTCTGGGTTGGATGTTCTTCAGAGGGTCTGTAAAGAGACGATGGGCTGAATGGCCTCTTTCCGCACTGTAAAGAATCTATGATTCTAGTGTAAATGGCACAGAGAGGGAAGAATTTCTGAAGTATGTTCAAGAGAGCTTTCTAGCTAAATGTGCGTCTGGCCAAACAAATAAGGAGACTTTGCTGGGTCTATTCTGCATACCAAGATGGATCAAGTGGTACATGTATCAGTCTAGAAACATTTAGAGAATTTTGATTATAGTATCATAAGCTTAATATTATTATCAATTGAAACAGACAGGTAGTAATTGACAGTAAAAAAAATACTTAATTGTGGAGGGTGGGTACCGTTGCACTAGTTGGAAATGCACTTGGCCGAGATAAATTATCAAAGGTTGGTAGCCAAAAATATATTTGAGTAATGTGAAGCTCTTTAAGAGTTCATTTGGCTATGGTGTAAGTACGTTGTACGAGAAGGAAAGGTAGGATAACTAAAACCATAACTCCTTCAATGACGAAAGTGTTCAGAGAATAAAATGAAGCAGTAAAAAAGAGGATATAGCAAATGTCTGGTTGATGTTACAAATGAGAACCAGGCTGAATAACCAGTTCAAAGGGAAAATTAGAAAGGAAATAAGAGGGGCAAAGACAAAGTTTGGGAATAAACTAGCAACTATTGTAAAGGAGTCCCAAGTCTGCTACAGGCATATAAATAGTTGACCATAGCAAAAGAAGGATTGGGGCTAATTAGAGACCAGAAAGGAGACCCATGAAGGCAGAGGGCAAGTATGACAAACTACTTACATCTACCAAGGAAGAAGAGACTGACAAAGTAATAGTGAAAGAGGAGCTAGTTGAGAAACTGGATGAGCTAAAAAGTGGGGAAATTGGAAAGGCTGGCTGCACTTGAAGTTATTGAGTCACAAAGTCTAGCTGGGATGTATCATGGGTTGCTTTGGGAAGTAAGGCTGGATTTTGCCCATATTCCTCTAATCCTTTTCAGATATGGGAGTAATATTAAAGGAATGGAGAATTGCAAATGTTATCGTTTTGTTCAAAAGATTGTGAGATAAACTGAGAGTGACAGGCCAGTCAATTTAATCTTGGTCAGAAGTATCTAAAATGGATAATCTGGGACAAAGTTAACTGTCACTTGGACAAATGTGGATTAATTATATTAAGCTGGTGTGGATTTATTAGAGACAAATCATGATTACTTAACTTGATCGAGTCTATAGATGAGGTGACAGTGGGTTAATAAGGGAAATATGGTTGATGTGGTACATATGGACACACAAAATATATTTGATTAAGTTCAAAAGTCTGTAAAGTTGAAACCCATGGAATAAAAGGCATAGTGGTAGCATAAATTGAAAATTGGCCAAAAGACAGGAGACAAAGATTAGTGGCGAATGCCTTTTTTCCATAAAACCTATCGCACATCTTTCTCCGTGTATTTGACCGAGCTTTTAGTCATCCTTTTTAATACTTCCCCTCTGCCTCTGAATCTGTAAATTACCTAGCAACCTGTTATATTAAAGATAGAGTATAAATACAAGTTGTTTTTCTAAAAGCACCTTGGGTGAGTCCTGAACAGTAAATTGTTTTTGACTCTTTCAGAGATAAAAGTTGGGATGTGCATGACTATTTGAACAGTCTTTATGAAGACCTGAAGTCTTGGCAAGATGTGTACTGGCGTTTATGGGGAACTATAAATTGGTTGCTTTGCACAAGGTGCAAAAAAGTAAGTTTTCATTTTTACTTGAATGTTAATGGGGCAAATTTTAAAAAGTACACTTTAAAACTCATTTTTTATAAATAACTTTCAATTGTGAGTTGTTTTAAACCTAATTATACAAGCTGAATTTTAAATAAGTGATGCTATGGACTAATAACCCCCATGGACCTAACTGGAATATTGTTTGCAGTTCTGATCATCACACTATAGGAAGGATGTGATTGCACTGGAATGGATGCAAATGAGATTCACCAGCTTGTTGCCTGGGATGGAGCAATTCAGCTATGAAGAGAGGCTGGATAAGCTCTGGTTGTCTTTTTTTGGAACAGAGAATGTAGAGGGGATCTGATTGAGGAGCATGCATAGGTTGAATAGAAAATAGCTATTTCCCTTAGCTGAAGGGACTATAATAAGCGAGCATAATTATAAAGTGAAGAATGAGACTTTTCTAGGGCATTGGAGGAAAAGCCTTTTTTACCCAGAGGGTGGTGAGCATCGAGAATGCACTGCCTGGGAGGGTAGTTGAGGCGGGAAACCTCACAACATTTTAAAAAAGTATTTGAATGAGCACTTGAAGCGATATAGCATTCAAGGCTATGGGCCTAGTGCAAGAAAGTGAGACTAGTGTCGATAGTAATATATCTTTGGCAGTTAATGTATTTTTGGCATATTGATGGACCGAATGGCCAGTTCTGTACTATGTGATTCTATGATCTAATCCTTCGTCCCCTTTCCGTTACTTGCCTACACACTGCCCTCAGCAATATCATCCAAAAACAGCTCATTTTCCACATGTTCTCTGATGACAGCCAACTTCACCTCATCTGTCTTGATCCACTGTCTTTAAATTGTCAGAAATTTCCTCCAATTAAATATTGGGAATATGAATCCTCTGTCTTCTAACACCAACATGAAATCTACTCCTCAGCTAAGGTCTCCATTCCCCTTCCTGGCGATTGTCTGAAGCTAATACAGAAGTTTGCAACTTTGATACTATATCTGAATCCAACGTGTGAATTAAACCATATATCTGTGCATCATGAAACCTCCACTTACTTCTGCAACAGTGCCTGACTTTGCCCTGCATCATGCTGTAGATACCTTCAGAATTGACTATTCTAATGCATTCCTGGTTGACTTCCCACATTCTACCTTATGCCACATACCTAATATACCAAGCGTGTATTCCTGAACATATGTTCAAATGCAGGGGCTGGTGCTCTGCTGAAGACAGCAATGTGACTAGGCTATGCACCTCTTTTTAGTTAAACTGGAGCTGAGTCTGAATTTTACCAAAAATCGGCTAACTATCAATTTCAGAGAGTTTCATGGAGGGTTTTTCTCGTGCAATTCTCTGTTGCTTAACTTGCATGCAGACCCACCTCTGTGGCGTTGCACTCACACTATTGTGGGCTAACCAGTGGTGGAAATACTCATAAATCATGGGACCTTCTGGGATTTCTGCTACTGGCAATAAATTGAAAGCCCAACTATGCAGCAGGTCAAATGCTGCGAGTCATGAATAGCCCTCCACAATACATGTATTGGGAGGAAAACAAGAAAGAGTGGCTTCTGAGGACACACTGGTGGTGACTCATTGGAAATAGAAGCATATATTTTTATATATGTTGCTACATTATATCATCACCTGTATGGCTGTCATCATAACTGAAGTGACAAGAATTGAGCTATACAAGCTATGCAGCCTTAGAACCATATCATGTTAGAATCCTGTTTGAGGAAGTCCTACTTTCTCCCTTCTGTCCAGCGTAGCATAGTCTCTTGTTATTATTCATTGTAGAAGCACCCCAATGCTGGAAAGCCTTCAAACAGTTGAAAATGTTAATTTTTATCCAACAACAGAAAAAGCAAAGAAAAAATAATGAACAAACCAAAAACTGCAAAATAAAAGCAAAGTACTGCGGACGGTAGAATTCTGAAATAAAAACTGAAAGTGTTGGAGAAACTCAGGAGATCTGGCAGCATTTGCGGAGAGAGAAACAATTAATGTTGTTATGATCAGAGCAGCTGTCCCCTGCTCTCTTCCCACACTTGACCCAATATAAGAGATAGCCTAGATCCTAAATTTTAAATTTATTTAAAGGCAAGTGTAATGTTCTGTGTTCCAGATGTGATTTGATTGGTCCACCACTAAACTTTAATTAGAACAGTTAAAATATAAAAAAATTACCATACCTCTAACTCTATTGAAATATTTAACAAGATAATGTATTACTTAACCACTAATCATCAACTGTTCCAATATAGCCAGCATCCCATAAACACACACTTGGTAAGGCAATTTAGCAAAACAGTTAAGGTTCTCACATGCTGCCTGTCTCCAGTCCAGCAGAACGAAATACTGAAAGAAACAGTATGCCTCTTGATATTTCTGAGAGGAAGCCTCTAGTTTAAGACTGTAGCAACAGAGACCTCAAACTGTTAGCTCAGCAGCAACAGAAACCTTTTCACTAACTGAAAGCAAAACAAAAAAACCTTCCTGGATCTATGTGAGCCCTGATCCCATCCACTCATACTTCTTATGTCTAATAAAGCGCCCAGGGATACCTCCAAGCTGTTTACCAACTGCCTGTCTGATGTAGACTCCTGGCACCAGTGTGGCAGCACCTGTCTGCAAGAGAAACAGTACAGAACATATCTCTCTCAAAGGCACAGTACTGTCACCATGTTTTGAGTCAATATGCTTCTTGAAGAAGAATCATATTGGACTTGTTATGATCCCAGCCCGTATTATAATGGGACAAGTCAGATATCAGTAAGGAACTTGGCTTGATGATAGGTCATAATTCTATTTGTTTTGGTTTTAATAAAGTGGTTTCTCACTGAAACATAAGCATGCAATGCTGTTGATTTTGCTTTAACAATAAACTGCAAGTTTATTATGAAAGGAATGTATCTAAAAAAGAAAAATAAACTTTCCACATACTATACAAATTCAAATAATTTAAACACCCAGTAAAAGAATAATCCCATTTATCCCAAATGCTCCTTTATAAATTGAAAAGAAACACAACAACTTTTGTATAGTACCCAAAACACAACTCCTAATGCTTACACCAGAACCTTAAACTTAAATTAAGGTGTTAAGTCTTGTGACAAGCTTTTAAACTAAAACTCTAACACACCCACACTTCACTGTACTCAGCTTTAAGGAACCTTTTTTTGGGTTTCCCTCCCAATGCTTCTGGTCTAACATTTAATTCAAACATAATCTGATTCACTAAATCTGTCACTTTCTTCTGAGGAGCACTACACAATGTAGCTATCCTGTTCCAGGTCTTCACAGGACTAACATGCAAAATCAAAACTAAAAGTTTTTCAGTTTAAGGGAAATGAACATTTCCCTTAATCTTAAAAAAATTCTAAAGCTCTTGAACAAACCTTTGAGGCCACATCATTTACCATGCTGCGTTGCAAACAATCTAAAATAAACAAAATATATTAGTGCTCAAAATACATGCACTCTACTCTTTTAAAGAAAGGATAGAAACAAAAGAAGTGAAGACCCCCTGACACTATCCCCCTCAGACACTCTTTTGGGTAGGTGACAGCACTGGTAAAATACAAAGTAGAGTTTCTTCTACCCTATCTAACCAGAAGGGAAAGTTTCCTTAACTGTCAAAACAAAAAGAGAGTACCTTCCATTCTGGAAAAACAAGAATCAATGAATAAACAAAAAAATGGCCCCCCCACCCCCCGATTCTGCCCCTCCAACCACTCTTGCGGTAGGGACAACAAGGGGTTGAATTTTAACATAAAGTTTCCCTGGCTTGTTCAAAAGTAAAGGAAACTTAAAAAAAAAGGTCCCCTTTGCTCTGTCCTTTATGAATGCTCCCAGGACAGGAATAACAAGGGTTTCAAAATCCAAAATCAACTAATTTTAACTCAAAATAAAATCCCCTTACACCGACTCCATCAAGTATACCTGGGACATGGACAGTGCGGGGTTTATATAAAAGCCCCCTTTGGTTCTTCCAATGGGGTCCAAAATCAATACAAAAGGAAAATCGAACAGCCCTTTCCTGGGCACAAAACCGAGAAGAACTATAAATTTAAAAAGTCGAACGGAAAATAACACTACTAAATCAAAATAACCTTATTTGAACTGTTGATGCCCTCCAGCAGTCACAGCGCCCATGAGTCATGAAAGGCCTCCACCTTACCCAGTGAGCACCTCATGCTGCTGCTCTAGGGACACCTGAATGCAGATGGAACCACGAAAAGGGGGCAGACAGTCAGAAACAACGAACCAATCCTTGGCCCTCTGCCTGGACCTGTGAATGGCCATTTTGGCCAGGCCCAGGAACAAAGCCTGTACACTTGCCCATCCCTTTTCGCACCGGAGCCCCATAGATCAGGAGGGTGGGGCTGAAATGCAACCAAAACTTAAGCAGTTGCTCCTTCATAAAACTAAAAAGGGGCTGCAGACAAACAAACTCAAAATAGAAGTGAAAAACCATTTCCTCCAGGTGCACGTAGTCTGGCACCCATTGAACTTGTTAAGCTGACGATTGCATGGGACTGATATGTACAGCAGTCCCCAGCTCAGACCCCTTTGTAGAGAGGCCTCCACTAGGGATCTCCACTGCTGAAGGGCAAAATGTCATACCGAGACATGTCCACGTGACAGGTGCAAGCATGGCAATGGAGAGTGTGCAGCATCAGCCCGTACAGACAGCACCTCTGTGCCGTATGAAAGGGCACCAGGAGGAGGGTCCGTGTTGTGGCACAAATATTGAGTTCTGGATGGACAAGTCACTTTATCCTGAAACCTGCTTCACACCTGAGCCGCCTTAAGTTCATGTGAGGAGTCATGACTGAGCGTGCACTGTGTAGCTAGGCAAAAAAAATTGCCATTATTACAGAAATACTTACAAATTAATTTTTACTTCAGATATGCAGAAAAACTCATGAGTTACTAACTCGCAAAGAGAAATCCAGGTTTCCAGAAACTAACGTTAAAAAAAACACATAACTGTGGCATT